CTCGCAGCCCTTACCAGTTTTCCAACTCTCCTCGGCGTGTCCCTGCTGGAAACAACATCTACATCTCGCCCTTGAAGAGCCCCTACAAATTCTCTGATGGGTTTCAGTCCCCCACAAAGATGACTCCGAGGTCCAGGTTGGTGGCAAACRTTCCTTGGAGTAGATGGAAACTGTCAGGAGGGATTTCATGGAAGCAGTTTTAAAAACTTCAGTGTCATTTGTTAATAGTCCACAGTTATTTGTTTTTTCAGATKAAAACCTTGTGTCCTGTATTTAGTGTCTTGTGTTGTTAAATATGACTTATTCTTAAACATTTCTCTTCCTTTGGCAGAATTTTGGTGTCAATTGGTGAATCGTTTGGGGTGAGTTTTAAGATTTTTYATCTCTAGTCATACATACGTGTAACCTTACAGAGGAATGAGAGTGGCTTTCGGAGAGCTGCAAAGCTGGCCAGTGAGAGTCACTTATTTAATGTAATATTTTTGGAATTTGTGAGCACAGAGTGTCTTGGGGTGCTCTGCACTAATTCCTTTGAGATACTCAGACTGCATTTTTAGAAGTTTTACCTTCTCTTAGCTGCTTAGAGAGCAGGCAGAGTTCTCAGTCTGGCACCATTGTAGACTTTTTAAAGAGATGCTGTAGAAAGCTGGAGCACCTTCAGGCTCGCCTGGCGTTTCCAAAGCCTGTTCCCTTGCAATTCCAGACTTCGGAGAAGTTCCAGAAGATCAACCAGATGGTGTGCAGCAGCGAGGGGCCCCTGAAGCGCGGCGCCGACGCCAGCGTCGCCCCCAAGCCGCTCAAGAGGCTGCGCTTCGATATAGAGGGGCAGGACGAAGCGGATGGAAGGTAAAGCTGCCGTGTGAATGGGGAAACATCACAAAACACGTGTGTGTTCATCGTTGGTTTCTCAGGAAATGTGAGAAGAAAGGGGAAAGGTAAAGCGAGAGGAATCCAGCATGTCTGGAGTGTAGAGGGTCTGGTATCTTCCTGTTGGATGAAAGAGTTTGCATATTTGTAAGGGAAGGCAATAACACTGGAATAAAGCAACCCTATTTTATAGTCAAATTTATTAAGGGGAAGAAGAAAAACAAACTTAAAACATTGTTCTACTCTCCATTAACTGAGCGCTTTCTGTCTGCAGCAAACACCTACCCCAAGAGTCCAAGTTCCAGCAAAAGCTCGCGGAAATGAGTGAGTACGGTTGGCTTCGGTGACTGAACATACCTTGGACAGAGCTTGTGGCAGCTCTCATAAAACCATCGCCCAGCATCAGTGTCCTTTCAGTAACCTGCTCTTCTGGGCTTGTTTGAGTCCTGGAAATGCAGGATAAAAGGGAAATCCTCCCCTTTTGGGGGGTTAGTAAGTGACACAGCAGCATAGTGGAGGCTGCTGCTTTGCACGAGGGGAAGGGCCTGCTGGTCGTCCTTGGTGCTAGAAATCTTGAAGTGGAATTAAATGCCGGCCAGGGCTTTCCCCCTTCTCATTTATTGCAGTGAGAACCCCCTAGCTGAGAGGGTGCAGATAGAGGCCAGTGGCCCCTGCAGCAGCAGTTAGGTGTCCGGAGCACCTTTAGAGTCAGGAAGAAGGGGAAATGTGTGAAACTTGGTGCCTGGCTCTGGCTTGAAAAGCAGAGTGCCAGGGGCTGTGGAGCCAAACGCCTCTGTTTGCTACGAGCAACTTGGTGGCAGGGGCTGAGGAGGAGGGTGTGGGAGAAGGGCCGGTTCCCGTGTGGTTACGGCAGCGAGAGACGGAGCGAGCCGGTCTCTCCTGCACGAGCTCCGGGATGAGCTCCTGGGGATGCTGGAGGCGGCTGCTCCTCAGGGCACGAGAGCGCGCAGAGATCGGGGGCAGTTCAGGAGCGAGAATACAGGTATATATAGGTAGAATCAGCTGCCATGAGCGTGTAAAATGGAACAAAAATCACTAGGGTTTACTCAGAATTAGCTTTCATAATAAAACGTAGGATAACAGTTATTTAGGAGAACAACACACATCCATTCCTTGTGTCCTTACCCCTATTTACAGTAAATTATCCCAAATAACTTTGAATTATCTAATTTCACTGATTTTTCTGTGTGTGCAGCATCTACTCGAACACGAATGCAAAAGCAGAAACTGAGTGATGGAAACGATACCTCAGCCAGCGAAGAGAAGTGAGATTCCTCTCAGGACGGGGCGCTGYTGCCGGCTCCTCTCAGCTTGTCCGTGTTTGCCAGCCTCCATTAATTGAGTTGCTTTTTTTTTAGTTGCTTTTTTATTCCCAACTGCTGGTTGGAAACATGTGGATTTTTTAGATTTTTAACGTTTCTCCTGATACTTTGCCTTATGATGTAACATGTGTACAATGCAAGCCACGGAGTTTGTTAATTTATATATTTGGGGGGGAGGTTTAAAACAGTCCTGGAAAATGCCCTAGTTTCCTATCGCAGCATTGCTGGTATCAGCTGATCGARTCTACTGGGATTGAATTCTTTTGTCTAAAGACAAAACATTAGCTAGAATGATTTGAAATGCACTAATTTTGTGTTACGATTTCATTTTAATATCGGAACTTGATGCGTTGTTTGCAAATGTTGGGAATCGGGGGCCGGATACTCCAAAGCTTTCGGACTCCATGTGAACCACGTCAGGTGGGTTCTCATCAGCTARACTGCACAGCAGTTGTCCAAGTGGCAGGGTTAGGACCAGGCTGCTTCCCATATGCAAAACACTCCAAGTGCCCTTTGAAATACTGAAAAAAATACAGAGATAAAACCCATTTGTGGGGCCCACACCTATTTGGGGGGCCAGGGTTTGGGTTTTATCTCTGTATTTCTTTTCGGAATGTTCTTGAGGTGGACCTCAGTTTTAATGTGACCCCAGCCAAGGGTGGCTGGATAAGGAGGTGCAAGGCCGGGTTCCTGGAGCAGGAGGAGCTGAAGTTGGCACCAGGTGAGAGTGTCCTGGGCTCTGGAAGAGCAACGTGACTCCCATTGGTCTCCTCCATCCTGGGGAGCCGCTTTGGGAAAACACCTGCCTTGTTTCACCACAAGGAACTGCTGAACAGGCTTCTCGGAGCTGTCACAGCCAAAACCAAGCCAGCAGATGACCTTTTTTTGTCATCTATGCAGTTGTAAGTTACTGATACCGATGCCGGATTTTGTCCTGCAAGGGTGAAGAGATTGCAAAAGAGCCTGTTCAGGAAGCGCCTTTTATTTCCAGTGGACTAAAATGTAAGTAAATAAATGAGGTCCTCTTTTAAAGTTGTTCATTTTAATGAAATGCAGGTTCAGCTGCTTAAATTGAAGCAGTTACAGGAGGGAAGCATGCTGCTCCTTCCAGAAATGTCTTTCAGAAACATCTTCTGGGAGTAGCTTGTTGAGAAAGCGCTTAGCTGACCCTGGAGTGCCTACACATCTTAAAGATCCGTTCTGGAGTTGATCAGAGTCTAATCCTCAAACTACTGAAAATTCCACAAACAGCACATTGACTTGTCAGTGGATCTTGAAGTAAAACTGTTTAGTTTTTGGTCTCAATACGGCTTCAACTTTCTTCTTGAAAAAAATGCCCAGTTATTGCAGTACTTTATTTTCTCCCTTTTGCAGAGTTTTGCAGTCAGATGCATGGTGAACGTTGGGGCCCCGTGCCCCCAAGTTCTGTTGTGGCCACTGAAGTTTTTCCACCGTTTACCGCCTCCTTTGGCTGCAGCCCTGCAGGGGGAACAGTGCAGAGGCTGGTACCTAAACAGACATGTTACTGGCGCAGTGTATTTTTTTGTTCAAAGAGACTGACAGCTTTACATCAAATGTATGATAATATTTTGTACAACTAATCAGTTTGACTCACTTCCAGGTAAATAAAATAGCTTTTAAAAGATCTGTAGTTATTTTCCTAACCTGACRTTATTGGACGAGATGATTCCCTAGGGGATGACGTTCTTCCCTGTTGCGTTTCCACCACGATGCTGCAGCTGGTGCCAGCAGGGGTTACTGCATCCCCAGCCATTCTCTGCTGGTGCCAGGGTCCAAATCCAGGCGCACTTGGGCTTCCCGTTACCCACCGGAGCTCCCGGGGGTCACTCTGGGAACAGGCTGGCTTTAGCTCACCGCGTTCTAGTCGGGCTCTTCTGGTTACCCCCAGCRGTGGTTTCTGCAGCGCCAGGCCCGTGTCCGCAGCCGGGTCGCTGTGGGAGCCCTCGTGGAAATCCCTGAGGATTCTCCCGGTGCTGAGCGCCCTGCCCAGCACTGCCCGCCTGGGTCCTGTGCCCTGGGAACAGCAGCCCTCGGCCTCGCGCGCCCCGGCCTCAGCCCCGTGGAGGCCGCTGCCCCCGGCGCTGCTGCGGCCTCGGCCTTGCCCACGCGCTGCCCAGGGCAGGCTCACCCTGCCCCGGAAAGSGCTCGTGGAAGCACACAGACCTGCAGGGAACTGCTTGCTGGAACGGCTGTTTTACCAGACTTCCAAATGTTCCTCTGCTTGAGAGTACTCCTCTTGCAGCAAGACATGGATTGCTCCGGATGACCACGGATTCGAGAAGAAAATCCCAATTCCGAGTCAAAGGACGGGACAGAAGCTGTGAGGGGCGCTCTGCTGCCCGGCGCCGGGGCTGGCAGCGCTGGTAAAGCCCTCGTGCCGTCAGGGAGGGGACGCGGGCGCTCGCGCAGCGCGGTCCTCCCCTCCGGACACATTCCCCACACGAGTGCTGCAGCTCTGTTTTTCTGCAGGTGCTTTTCCTTGTGCTTCAAAATGGATTATTTGGTTATTTAATAAAAAAAAAAAATCTTTAAAATACCTCCCTGCACAGCTACTTCTGTTTATTTCTTATTTTCCCATGGTACCAGATCATATAATCAAACCCATTTATAAACCTGAGCGACTCAATGTCAAACCTGCTTCACTTCCACTGCCAAGAAAGAAAAAAAACCACTCAGACTTTTAAATGGTACAACATTTTTATTAATCGTCTATTAAAACCAGGTTAGTTCATACAGAAATATGAAACTGGGTGTTTTTTATGTTCAGGCTGTAAACATGAGACATCATCAGGTGGCAGCTAAAGACGCCTGCCTCTATGAAGCAACTAAGTGCTGTGTTTTACAAGGAAAGCCCATTGAAAGGGCTTGGGTCATATAAAAACTTAYATATGGAACAGCAGTTTACACAATGAAAATCTCCAAGGGTTGGCACTAGCTGACAAAGCGGTGCTGGATCTTAACATGGATCACTTAAGTAGGATCATTTAAGTGCTTTTTTTTTTCCCCTTTCAAATCCCATTCTTTTTAAATTAGTAAGTTATGGGKTTTTTTTTTTCTCCTTGTTTAAAATGGAAGATCCTTCTGTCTCTGGATCCCGCAGACCCATTTTATGCTTGACAGTGTTTGCGTTTTCTGGTGTTCTAATTGTCCTAAAATTATTCAAAAAAGGACCTCTCGGGTATTTARGATCCCAGCTCCAGAACCACCGCTTTGTTGCACACCAGCTCGCACTGCTAAAACGCATCCCTAATTCCTTCTGACAGCTCCCGTGCTTCCTGGAAGCACCGGGTTTCGCGCGTGTTTATGCCCACGTCTCCAAATGGGACCTCCTACGCTTTGACCATGATTGTATTTTTTTTTAAGTTTGACCTTTAAATGCCAAGGAAAGTGCGTGCAAATAACAGCTAAAAAAACGGACCTAATGTCTCTATGAATGCAGTACTATCACATCCCTGTCACATAACCCCTATCTGTGCCTGAGCAGGTGGCACTGATGACAGAGCTTTGGTCTCCAGATKATTTTTTTTTTTTGGAAAATTAGAGGTTTTGATAGTACCCAAACGGGGCTGTAAATTGCACAGTAGGTGGGMAGTAATGAGCAGGAAGGAAATAAATTGGGAAGAAATGGCAGCCTTGGTGTTACTAGGCCGAAACGGTCTCCCTGGGGACACGCACCGTTTTGAGGGCTCTCGTTTCCGCAGGGGCCTCGTGGCCGCTAGGAACGGGAGGCAGGCTGGCAGGGCGACAGGCCRAGTTAACAGCAGCGAGAATCACCGTTTCACGGGATGTTCCGTCAAGGAGCTGTCACTCCAAATCACTCCTTGCCGTGGGGCGCGACCCGGCCGGCTGCGCCTTGGGGCTGGGCTGTGCCCGGCCACAGGTCCTGGCTTGTGGGGCCATAAACGCGCTGGGAGGGGACCGCGCCGAGCCAGGAGCCTCCGTGGGTGGAAGGGGCCGGGACTCTGCCCCGCGGTGCCTGGATTAGCGAGGCAGGGGGGATTCCCGCCCGGGGTTACACGGGCCGGCTCAAACCAGGAGAGCAGAGGCGCGGCGCGCTCCGCTCTGGCTCCAACCCYGATCCTAATTCACTTTGGGCCCTTTTCCCAAGCTCAGATCAACTGCCTGTGCCCCACCGCCGAGCTTCCCCTCAAAAGCAGCAGGGATGGACACGGTGACACTTCCTCCTCTTCCTCTCCCAGGACTTAATGCTCCTCTTCCTTGCAAAGGAACAGGAGGGCCTGGGAAATGGTCTTCGGATACAGCAATGAACAGTTACTTCCACTTTAGAAAGGAGTGTGAGAATATTTATGGGAATTAAGAACTGTGAGATTATTTATGGGAATCAAGTCCTTCCGAGCAGCTTTGTGAGGAGCAACTGCACCAAGTCCTCGAAGGATTCGGTGGCRGACCACAACCGTGACCGAGGGCCGCATCGCTAAATATATCAGTTTCCTGAGCACAGCCATCCACATTTTTGCCTTTTCCAGTCACAAAATACTGCAGGAGGGAGTTTAAAGCTGCTTCACCTGGTCTTTTAGAGGTAACTTCTCGGAGTTACTGGGCAGTTGTCCCTGCTAGAAGACCCAACTCACAAGATGTGTGAATTCAGCCCCTGATTTAGTCACACAGCCCCGTCACTGTCTTCCCCCGTTTGCTTGCGCCTGGGGACGGTAATAGGGGAACAAACACACAGACCTCAAGTGGAATTTCCCTTTCCTTCGTATTTGTTCGTATTTCCTTTTCTTGGTAACAAGCAACGAGACAGTTTTCTGGGTACATAAACACACAGCAACATAATCTATGTCTGGACAAATACTATGAACATTTACTGCGCCACGTAGGGTGTCAAGGAACAGCCCTAGCGTGACTGAAAGGCAGAATTTTAACCCTGTCCTGAGCAATGAATGGAATATCCAATCAACTYCTTGGTGGTTAAGGRAGCATTTACACTCCAAATAAATAAACACCTAGCAAGATACACCTTCCTATCCATTAGAAAACTCCTCTTCCTAAACAATTTATATTACTTTATCATTTATGCAGAAAAACAAGTTTATGCCTTCGCTGGATGATAAACTAGGCACAGAGAAGGCTACTGTATTACATTAACTTAGTTTGGAGATGGACAGAGGCTACGGAAGCTTTAGCAGCAAACAGGTCACTGCCTCATAAATACAGATGCAGCTGGTCTAAAACAATCCGGGAGGCAAGACGAAGAGAACTTAGTTTCCTTGGTTTCAAGTGGAAAATGCTAGTTACGGGTTTAGATTTTTGTTGTTAAATTCTGACCGTTGGCCAAAGCAAAGACAACCTGATCCGTGCTGCAGCCCTCCTCACAAAACCCTTCCCTCGCGGCCTTCCCCGTTTCCGAAGACAATGGGCACTGACCTCTCCCTCTCCAACTTGGCCGTTCTGCCCGCRGACACGGCCCGCCAAGGAGCCGCGTTCCCGGAATTCCCGTGAGGGTCCGGGCGCTCCCGCTCCGCGGCGGCGGGCCMTCAGTTGCGGAAGGCGCCCACGCGGCTCGCTTTGCTAATGAAGTTCTTGAGGAGGTCGTGGTCCATCTCTGCGAAGCCGGGCGTCTGCGTGACAACCGTGAGGTGGTTTATGCAGAACCTGAAGCAAAACTCCTCCAAGTCCTGGGGAGGAAGGGGGCCGTTAGCGAAGCCGGCGGCGCTCGCTGCTTCCGCCCATCTGCTCGCTGCAGCCCCAGCGCGGCAGCGCCGGGCGAGCTGCCCTCAGCAAGGCCCTTTCCGGACACTCTGACCCGAGACTGCCCTTTGCAAACCCCTCTCATCTGTCATAAAATCACACACAATCACAGGGTGGTCGAGGGTGGCAGGGACCTCTAGAGATCATCTAGTCCGATCCCGCTGCTCCAGCAGGGACACYCAGAGCAYGGAGCACAGGGCGGCATCCGGGCAGGACTTCTGTGGTCAGATGCACTGCTGTAAGGTAACTCTAGCTCCAGACTGAACCAAGATGCCCCAGTAAGTGGAGGGAGTTACAGTAAAAATGTCCCTGTCCTGTCCTGTCCTGAGGGTCCTGGTGCTAAAGGGGAAGGATGCGCCGATATTCGGCACAGAACGGGTTACGGCCACTCAGCCGTGCAGCACAACAGGGATTTCACACAGAGAGCCTGGCCACCTCCAGCGCCCGGCCCTTCCCTCCACACGCTCCGTCAGTCCCCTTGGCCGCTGGTTCCTGCACAACTTGTTGGTGCCAAAAAAAGGTCGAGGGAGGGGACCCTGCCCCTCTGCTCAGCTCTGGGGAGGCCAAACCTGGAGWACTGGGGGCACTTCTGGGCTCCTCAGTGTAAGAGRGATGTGGAGCTTCTCGAGAGGGTCCAGYGGAGAGCAACAAAGGTGATTAAGGGACTGGAGCATCTCTCGTATGAGGAGAGACTGAGTGAGTTGGGYCTGTTTTCTCTGGAGACTGCAAGGAGATCTGATCAATATGTTTAGGTTCCCAAGGGGAGAATATAGTGAGGAAGGGACCAAGCTCTTCTCAGTGGTGGCCAGTGGACAAGGGGCAGTGGGTACAAGTTGAAACCCAGGCAGTTCCATCTCCATGTGAGGAAGAACTTCTTCCCTGTGAGGGTGCCAGAGCCCTGGCACAGGCTGCCCAGGGAGGCTGTGGAGTCTCCTTCTCTGGAGATCTCCCAAACCCGCCTGGATGCCGCCCTGTGCCCCGTGCTCTGGGTGTCCCTGCTGGAGCAGGGGMTTGGACTGGATGATCTCKAGAGGTCCCTTCCAACCTCAGCCAGTCTGTGATTCTGTTCAAACTGAACTGTCTTCTGCAGCAAGCTGGGCTGGAGCCAGCAGCAAGGCAGGCTTAACCTCGCCCTTAAAGGCTACAGCAAGAGGAGGCTTCTTAACCTATATCTGCTTTATTCTACATGACCTACACAAATACGAAGTCAGGGCTGAACGGGGGAAAGAAGTTTAGCAGAAACCTGCAYATTTTCTTTCAAGGTCTTTTCTTTAGATTTGAATGCTTCAAGTCTATTGCCCTTGCCAAAACATAACTAAATTTTTAGAGAAGCCAAGAAGCATAAAAATATCCCTTAAAAGGAAATGAAGTGTTAAAACAGCACAGTAAATCACACCTTCATTTAAAGTGTTGGAAAAGAAAAAAAAATGAATGAAAATTGAAAAAGAAATAGAAAAGAAATTATAAGAAATTAAAAGAGGTGAGGATAGGAAGGCAGCAATCTGGGCCTGTGTTTGACAGCACTGCACTGGGGGCAGATGAACACACTATGGACTTACAATGAAGTGTTACAATATCACAGACATTTTGGACAAATGCTGGGTATGCAGGTGAAAGCACTGAATCATAGGAGGAGGAATGAGGTTAAAGGTTAAAAACAAAACAAAAAGAAGTGTTCATCTACCCAACCCCTTCTATTGTSTTTCTGTCACTGTAGTCACTAGTACTTTGTTCGGGCTAGTTTTACAATTTCACAACACACCTAAATGCCTCCGTTGAAAAGTTTGTAAAAGGAGGAAGTCCAAGGCCAAATTTGAATGAAAACGTCTCATGTTAAGAAAATCAGATTGTGTGATCCTGCTCCTTGGTCCCATCTCCCCCAATAGGCTGGACTTCTACCCCTACATCACCCTGAAAGGGCAATTCCTGTTTTTTGCTCCCCACTTGTTCTCACCATTCATTTCTAGCTGCTCCTCTTGAGTTTTTGGCTACAGCTCTGTCTTCACGGCTCCCCCTCCAGCTGACAATCTCTTCATTTCTTCATCTTCCCTCTTCTGCCTGATCACACTCACTGCGCTTCTGGCCTCCTCTTTGCAATCCCTACAAAAACTCATCTCATTCAGGATCCTGCAGGATGACTTCAGCATTTCCTAACACTTCTTCTATTCCTGGCCCTTCCTTCTCTCTGCTCCCTGTGCCTGGAACAGCCTGTGATTTTACTGTGTTCCCAGACTCTCCTGCTTCAAAACTTTGCCCTACGTCCCACAGCCAACACAGTTCCACTAGCAGCACAGCACTGAGAGGCTGAGAAATGGAAATGATCTCTCAAGCTCTTTGCCTGTTTGCAAATGAGGGCCTTGCAGAGCAGCTGGTAACGGCCTGAGGGCTGGTCAGAGATCCCAGATATTCCCTTTGGCAAGGAGCTCTTGAGCCAAGGGCAGCCCAGATGGCAGGATACGGACACGGGAGGAACAACAGATAWTTTTTTGCATGTCAGCATGACTCACCGTGACCAATATGGTGAAAATGCATTTCTGATACGAGCACAAACGTGAATAAGGAAAGACTTTACAAGTAAATTCACCTCTGACAGTAAAAGGCAGTACAGGGATGACTGTACCGGACACAGACAAATGACTTGAGAAGGTGGAAAACTTTGCCAGGAAGCAAGATGCAGTGCAAGATCCGAAGGYGGAGGAGTGAAAGGTGAGGAGGAATCTCCAGGCCATGTGGTGCTCGATGACAAGGCAGGAAGGACATTAAGAAGCCTGACTCACAGGTGCAAGACAGCAGGCCACAAAGATATGAGGAATGGCTTCGTTTTTTATAGCTTAAAAGTCCACGTGTGGGAARGCAGCAAGGGCAGCTAACAGCAATTACACGTTAATTGCAGGGATTATTAAATAATGTTTCTCAGAAAACACTTGTTTTCCATACCTGAGCCTCATATTTGACAGCGGCTGAAAGAAGAGCAATGGCATTCTCCTCACARATACCTTGCTTGATGGTTTGCTGGCAAAGCTTTTTCAATCTGTTCTCTCTGTACAGTGTGGCCAAATCTAGCAGCCCTGCAAAGAAATTAAACATATTTAACCATCCTTGTACAAAACATACACATTTCTATTCATATTAATCAATTCTATTATTTTAGGCAGATTTCATTGAAAGCTTCATCTGCTTTTCTGACTAATGAAGTGCTTATTTTTTTAAGAGTCCTTAAAAAGGTTTTTTATCAGAAAGAGCCACTTCTACTAATATATAAGTATYCCAGCTTCTTATTGACTATAATACATCTTATTCGAGGTATCAGCTAGTGTCCTAAACCCAATTGCTGCAGCTTCTCAAACTCTCAGGGTGCCATTAGTGATTTTTTAAGGTAAAATAAATTGAGGTCCTTCCTGAATGTTAATTCAGGGTTTTATTTCATACCCCACCACTCCTTTTTCCTGCTACTGCATCCTTCTTCCTGACAACYGGAATATAGCAGTAACTCAGCCTTAAGTGCTAATAAAAGCCAAACTAAACACGATCAACCCTTGATTTCCTCATCCTGCTATGACACACAGCTATAGGTTCAGCAATAGGCATTATATGTGTTCATGGCAATTACCTATTGCATCTTCAGGGGAAAGTCTAATGTTGTCTGTGTACAGGTATTCCAGGAAGGCTCGGTAAACAGGATAAGAAAATTCATTCATTTCTATAATTTCATCATCGCTATTCAGTATGGAGCGAAAATGTTCACACCTGAAAAACAAGAACAAGACTTGCACGCTGTCAAGAGTTTAACTTGATAAGGGAGTTGCAGCAAGATGACAAGTAGGAAAAAATCAGTCATAACAGACAAAATACACAACCAAAAAATCTAGCCAGATGAATTCTTACTTTGAACATGTTAGATTTTTGAGGTTTTAAACATGTTAAATTTCTATGCAAGTTTCACCTGTCAGAATTTTCTTTTATTTCTATTGCTACTAGTTTACAACAGATTCCTTATTCTACCTGTAAGATCTTTAAGGATAGTCCATGCGTTTTTTAATATTTCTTATGTGAGTTATATATCAACTAATCTATTTTGTTACATGTCTCCTAACAGATTAAGTTTGCAATTCAATTATATGATTCTCACACTTCATCCTCTTTCTTCAACATGATCTAGTGAGGGAGGAAACAACCACTAATATTTCAGATAATAATTATTATTTATTCCAGTGTCACAGTCCRTGTATGTAGACACAATGACATGCAAAAACTACATACATCTTAGCATTAAAATTAATCTTTACTCTCAGGTACAAAAGTACCTATAATTAAAAGAGACCCCCCACCCATATCATTCATCATCCTTATTTTACAAGTCCGGGGAATTTTTATAACAGATAAATAACAAGAAAAAAACTTGGCTTTGGATGGTTGCACTCTGCAACTTCAAGCTCACGGTAATTTACATTATTCSTCCCTCAAAAATCGGATATTTTTGAAAGTTTTGCTGTCAAGAGTGAACATCGCTGCCTCATGTAATGACCTCCTAAAGGAGCCACAATCTAATTTGAATCCTTCATACGCTTCATTACTTCCTCTAAGACTGTCCCACACCTGAATTTGCTTTTCTTTTACTAAAAATATTTCATAATAAGTTCGTTGTTACCCTTTTAATGTCTCTGGGACAAGTCTACATCATAAAAACAGAGTAACTTAGATACAAATGCACATTAACCTATTTTATCTATTTTATTTTAATGCACATTATTTTATCACTTATTTTATCTTTTCTACATTCCATTTTGTTATTTACAGGTTTTTTTTGGTATTTTATTTTTCTAGTAAAGTTAAAAAAAAATGAAAGTAAATGAAAGGTTTTTAAAAAAAAAAAAAAAAAAAAAAAAAAGGCTGGTGCACGTTGCTCCCTTTCATAAGGAAATCATCCTTCAGCTTCCAAGGGCTAAAGGCAGAGCAGATGCATCCTGCCCACGTCCCCACATGCATCTCTCACTGCAGGCAACGTGTTGTGTCCAGGCTCTCACTCAGCTGGAGGCTGCCATTTAGCACCATCACCAGCTAATACCCACCCACAGTGTTATCTAGTTCAGCAATATCTACAGCACGAGATGGTAAAAGAAAATAAAGAAAAAAGTCTTCAAGTGGCAAAAAATATTTGGACAATAAAAATGAACTTTATTTATTTATTACCAGCGTGGAACTCATGACAATGCTCTGGGRAGGGATGAATCCTGCAAAATACCATGTTAAAGATATTATCCTCTCAACCACTTGCATCATGAGACTAAGGCTTAAAGAAGGCATTAACTCTGCAGACTAGGTCACATGCTCTATTATCCCTGAAAATGTGTTTGATAATGCCACAAATTTATAGAATTGGACACCTTTTCTTCCCAGAATGTCATATAATCTTGGAAAAGTGAAGCAGTAAGAAAGAATTAAGGCAAAGTTACATGTCATCCAATTATCAAGAAAAATCACCTCAGACACACCTTGGGCAGACCCAAGAAATGAAGTGATATTTGATGAAGGGCTCTTGGCAGATGACAGGAAATAAGGCAGTCCAAGCAAAAAATGACAGTATAAGCAGTAACAAACAAGAGAGGAAAACAGTAAAGGGAAGAAAACTCAGGCAACAGAACCAGTAACAGGAGAGCAAAAGAGGAAAAAAAAATCCTAGAACTAATTTGTAACTTTAATGTAATGTAGTAGCACACCAGAAGCCACTAAAGAGATTCAGGAGCAGAAGCAAGACAAGAAAAACAGAAATAAGCAGAATCTCTCTARAATAAGCAGCTAAGCATTTTGACAAAACCAAAATAGTGAAAAGAGAAGATTRTTGTAATAATAAAGACTGTAGAGATCTGAAGCAATCTGATGAAGTTTCTAGGATATCCTATCAGAAAGAGTGCCAGTAAGAACAAACTGGTCTCTTGTACGTTATAACAAAGTGATTACTCAGTAGGTCTGCATATGTCAGATCTCACTCTGATGTGGTGTTAACTTTTAAAAAGCTGTAAAAAAAAGCAAAAGAGAAGTCAGCTTGCATTCAAACTAACTGCTAAGAAGGCTTAAAACAAAAAGGATAGATCTGACAGAAAAAAAAAGAAAAAAGAAGAGGATCTACAGAAACTGCTGAAACAGCTGAAGGGCCCTGTGGAAGTCAAGAAAGAAGGGCAAGAATAAACACAAAAGCAATAAAACTGAGGATATCTGTAAAGGAAGCCAGGCAAAGAAAGGAGGAGAAGCTGATTAACTCTTGGGAAGCAGCACAGCCCAGATAAGTAAGTGAGCCTTTTCCTCAGCAGGAAAAGGTCACAAGTAATTAGGATGATTGAGGCAGCTTGAGGGAGGATGGGCATTAGATGGAAAAAAGTGGGGAAGAGGTTGGGAGTAAGCAGCAAGCTTGGCAATTCTGAGCAGTGAGAAAATGAGGAAAATAATTGAGTCCTGTGACTTGGGGAAAAGCCTAACTCAAGRTTTGTAAGTAGTAAGTACTCAATTTACTACTCAATAGACTCAGTACTCAGTAGACTAAACTGTAGATTTTGTGACTTACCTAATTTTGAGAAGAACTTTGTGAACATGAATGTATTTTCCGTCCACTAGAAACTTGAGGTCTGCAGTTTCAGGGTTGTCAAATTCCTTCTTCAGCGACTGGGCTACTGTCAGATGGTCATCAGGCTCTAGTATAAAAATGGGAATTTATAGTGGCCAGTAAGTACAGGAATCACTTACAACCTTATCCTGGGCTTATATCAGCAATTAACATTATTAATAAACCCAATTTCCGTGTCAGGTTAGTAACAAAACAGTGTGTTCAGTATGAACCTGTGGAAAAGCAAAGCACAGCTTTGTTCAGTCTTTGTTCAGTTTACTTCCCAATCCAAATATCCCTATAAAAAAAGTCTCACTCCTGAAATTTCTCAATATGAGGCCAGAAAAAAAAGRGCAGACTAAGAAGTTAAATGATGCATCTGAAAACAAATAATATTAACTTATTGGCAAAATTATTATTTTAAAAGAAGTGTCTGTTATAAAACACCTAAAAGCTCAATAAAAAACACAGTATGATTTGATAAAAGACTGCCATGAGGAAACATTATCTTACTGTCAAAATAAAGYGATTATTTAATTAAGGCATGCAAAGCTGCTCAGTATGATGCTCCCAAAGGCAAATCCCACCAGTAACAAGCCTGTTTGGAAGTGCTCTCCCCAGAGTTCCCATGTTAACAGCCCCCTGAGTGTGAGTGTCCTCCCTGTTGTATGGATGCACATACATGGATGTGCCACAGGGGAGGTGGCACCTGCACCAGAAAGACAAGGCTCCCACTGTCTCCACACAACGTGCATCTCCTGAACTGCTTCCAACTCCTCAGCACAGGGGGTAGTCTCATAGAACTATTTTCTTGAATATTAAGGGGAAAAAAAAATCTCCAAACCTCATTTGTTACCCAGATAACAGGTTTTTCTCCTCACCCTATGAATATCTATTATTGTTTTATCCAGCTTTTTAGGATCAGGAATAAGCTTTTCTCTACAGAAAATTACATAAATGCTAGGCCCTGAAATTCTGTAGCTTACCCAGTTCAGCAGGATACTATCTTATTAGAATGGAAATACTGCCATCACAAGCTGGAGAAAAACTTKAAGCACATAATTTGATACTGTCATGCTTTGTTTAGCACAGTTACTTGCAAACACRCTGAGAGAATGTCATTGATGTCCAACTAGGGAAATAATTATGGAAATCTTTTGGATTTCAGGTGAAAGGAGGAGGAAAACAAATCCCAGTGAAAATATATTAATTAAAAAGAAAAATCTCCCGAACTAGTAGAATGGTAAAACTCTTTGTTTATTCTTATTCYGTGTGACATAGTTTATTTATTCAGAGCTCTGCAGAGTTAGTGCAGGAATTTTAACAATCCACAGAAACCTCCCGCTCGCCTGCAAGGCTGCAGTAGGGCAAAGGATTCTGTACTGCCCTGCTGTGAAACCTGTCCCCAAAGCCACTGGTACTTCTGACACTCGTCACTAGGGCTTTACCAGATGATTTCTACTATCAGAGGTCACAGAATCACAGACTGGCTGAGGTTGGGAGGGACCTCTAGAGATCACCTTGTCCAACCCCCTGCTCCAGCAGGGACACCCAGAGCACGGGGCACAGGGCGGCATCCAGGYGGGTTTGGGAGATCTCCAGAGAAGGAGACTCCACAGCCTCCCTGGGCAGCCTGTGCCAGGGCTCTGGCACCCTCACAGGGAAGAAGTTCCTCCTCACCTGGAGATGGAACTTCCTGGGTTTCAGCTTATAGCCATTTCCCCTTGTCCTGTCATTGGCCACCAATGAGAAGAGCTTGGCCCTTCCTCCCTACATTCTGCTCAGTAAAGTGGGGTTAACCTATAAAATTCTTAGTGAGAGGGAAAGCAGGTGCTTTTATTTGTTTTAGCAGCAGTGGAAGGAAATAAGGATGCAGTTCACATGAGCCAGGCGCAAAGCCAAGGAAACCCTTCAGCATTCAGTGTTTAGCCGTAAAGATGGAATGCACAAGAGTGTCTGGGGGTGGAAGCACCAGAAAGCAAAAGGAGGAGGGCTCTAGCAGGGCATGTGTCCATGGCACTTAGGGGGCAGGCAGTAAGATCCTAGCTATGAAGCTTCTTAGCACACATATATCCAAGGAGCTTCTCAGCACACATATAACAGGAGCCAAACAACAGTGAGCAAATCCTGAGGACTCACCAAGGTGGGGTAGGATGGACAGACTAGTCACACTCCTCTCCTAAAGGGTCCAAGAAAAGGCACATCCAAGGCTAGCACATTGACCCCTAACTAASGGGAATCCAGGAGACACGTGAGGTCTCGGGGGGCAGCACCCTGCAGCCTCAGCAGCATCCCAAGGACTCCAGCTCAGACCTCTTGCTGCTCATGAGTGCGTGACATGATGGGCACGACAAAATGCTCCTGCTTAAAAAGAAAATGACCTTTCCTTCCTGTAAGGCTTCTCCTTGAGCTTTGCTACATTGTTGTTGCACGGTAAAACATTCTTTCCAAAGGGAGTAAGCACTTAAGGGCAGAAAACAAAGATAAAAGGAGCTGGAAAGGTCAAAAATGACTGTCCCCGTGTGAGGCAGGGTAAGAAGGGCGAGTGTTTTGTCCTAGGGGACAATGAAGGGGGAGAAAAAACAAGCGTGTCTCAAAACAGTTATGGACTTGGTCTTGACAAGGCTGTGTTAAARAGAGAGCACGGATAGCTGGACCTCGTGATAAACCCAGTAATAACCTGGCTGCTCACAAGTCTTCCGCACTTGTGAGCACAGACAGTCCCACTCCAGATGCTTTAATCTGACCCCATCTCCCTGCATGCTCCGTGAGAAGGACTGAATGCTTTYAAGTGATGGGCCGTCTCACCTAGTGCAGAAGTCTGAAACAAAGCCAGGTGAATCTCAGCACAGCACTGCCCATTGCCCTGCACTGACTGCAAAGGAAACACTAAGCGGTTAATGCAGAGCAGGGCATTCCAAGTGTCACCCCTGAGGTTGTATCAGAGGAATCCAGCCCTGTAAATGCACAGGAAGCAGCAGACAGAGAAGTAAATATGAAACCTAGAGACTCATAAACGGCGAGATGAGTTACTGTCCAAGCCCATCACACAACACCCACAAAGGTGCAAAAAGGTGGAGAAACTAAGCACCTTGCAGTGATCCAGGCCTTTTCCCAAAGTCTCTTCACAGCATAAGGCTCTTGGTGGCTCCTATTTGGGCCACAGACAYGTTACAGTCTCACAAGAGATCATTAGATACAACTTTCTCTGTAAGGCCCGCAAGGTCACAGAAAGGTCTTGCACGCTGCCATATTTTGCTTATTTAGGTACTTATGTTATTGTTTATTATATACTTATGTTAACCAAATCGGAGCAGAATGATCAAGTAACAGCTTTAGGAGAAAGCAGCAGACCAAGCGATGGTGTTTGGGCAATAACCAAGAAAGAAGAGTTTTCTTTTTTAGGAGAAAAACATAACATTTTTTTTTTAAGAAAAAGGAAAGCCTGTTTTTTTTTTTTTTTTTTTTTTTTTTTTTTTTTTTTTTTTTTTGCTGTGGAAAGGAACTGGAGAAAATGAGAGACTGAAAATAATAGGTTCAGAATTGAAAAAAAATATTTCTTAGAAGAGGACAAGAAAAAGCAAATTTGGCAGAAAGAAGCATTGAAAAAAATGTACCAGACATTCAGTCTCAAAGCTGTCTCCCTCACCGAGGGGTAAAATATGGAAAAAGGCGGTTTCTTCTTCTCACCTTCCCCAATGTGCCTTTGAAAAATTACTCAGGGCCCTACATTAAACTGAGAAGAAAAGACAAGAGAAGTAGAGGGGAAATTAAGAAGAGAACTGCAGTGAAGATCAGTGAAATGTGGGAATCCACAAGGAAGAAAATGCCTTTCCAGATAGATACCTCACTTAGTTCCAGGAGCATGAAATAATATTTTAATAGGACAGGAAGAAACAGAAGTTGAAAAGCCCCAGACTTTTATGTACACAAGAATACACACTTAATTGAGTTTTGCAACTTAGCTACACATAATAATAACCTTCTGTTTTCTTCATAAAACTACYAATTTTCATGGAAGAAAAATCTAAACTTTACTACTAAATGTACTGTTGCTACTTTTATTCAGAATTTACAACTCATATACATCTACTTATATGAATGAGGTGCCTCATTAATTAGTACAGTACCATAATTTATACTTAATCAGTAATAGGCCAACATTAACAMATTAATAGTATCTACAATAACTAAGCATATAAATCCTGTTTCTGGAACTACAGTATCAGAATATAAATAAATCAGTATTTAAATCAGTATATAAATTTATTTAATGAATATAAAATAAATATAAAAACAAATATAAAATAAATATTAAAAACAAATATAAAATAAATATAAGAGCTGATTTATAAATCAGTATACAAAACTACAGTTTATATAGTTCTATAAACTCTCCTAGACAACATTTTGAGCAAATGGGGGACTTAGGACTATGCTCTAAAACATGAACTTAGACGAGACAAATTCCTGCAGGCAGGATTCTCCATTTAATCCTCTCACCTCTCGGAGCTGGAATGTGAGGGCTGCCAACCAAAGCTCCTCACCTCTGCACTGGGAGGCACAAGGGAGCACGGAGTGCTCTACAAAGCTGTCAGACCCAAGCAGACAGCACCAGAAAAGCAATTACGAAGGTAGCACCGAAGCTACCGAGCAGGAGGGTGATGCACTCAAAGCAGGGCAGATTACAAATAAGGGTAAGGGAGCTGCTGCCTTCAACCTTCTCACTTCAGCTCCCAGGTGACACCTATAGACAAGCCCAGGAGCCTCAGCCTTGATTAGGCCAGAAGAGGCAATAATACTATTAGCCACAAAAATGGAGTTGGATTTGTAGGCAAAGAATGAACTCTTTAAAAATGCCTTGTGCTAGTGATGGTGCTAACTCATTCCAGTCAGAGGCAGCAAGACAGATCTCAGTGTTCATCAGGCATTTGAGATTCAGTAACCAGTCTCCCCAGAAGCCCAGGTCATGGTCATTTGTCATGAGACTTTGACCTCTAAGCATTCACACAGTCACTCAYGAACACAAGAATTTGACTCGCTCGTTCACACTAGTCTGTGCAAGGATATCACAGAAAGGGTATCAAATGGTTCCCTCATCTCCAAATTCAGACTCAGCTTCTTCGCCCATGAGAGCCATCACACACTGATACTCACAGACTAATAGAAACACAGAATGGTTGAGGTTGGAAGGGACCTCTAGAGATCATCTAGTCCAATCCCCTGCTCCAGCAGGGACACCCAGAGCATGGAGCACAGGGCGGCATCCAGGTGTGTTTGGGAGATCTCCAGAGAAGGAGACTCCACAGCCTCCCTGGGCAGCCTGTGCCAGGGCTCTGGCACCCTCACAGTGAAGAAGTTTCTCCTCACATGGAGATGGAACTACCTATCTTTCAACTTGTACTCATCACCCCTGTCCTGTCAGTGGCCACCAAAAATACTTTGGCCCCTTCCTCCCTACATTCTCCCCTCAGGTATTTGCACATTTTGATAAGATTCYCCCTCAATCTTCTCCACTTCTACTCAGTGGCAACAGAAAAAGGACTGGGTGAACTGGCTTTTCAGATCATCATTCCTACTCAAAACATGGCACTTCCTCACAGAAATAAATAACTTAGCATTGCCACCAGCTCTTATCAAATTTTACAATTCTGTAATTATACAATTCTGTCGATTTTTGCAACACGCCGAGTTTAGGCTTCAAGTACCCACAGGGCTACAAGGGTCACAACGAAAGCTTTTCCAGCTCACCTACGGAGAGCAGGCGCCACATGACGGCGGGGGTGGCGAAGCAGGCGAACACGTCGTCGGTGCAGGCGAAGTGCGTGAGGTGGGGCAGGATCACGGCCTGCCCGCGGCACTGGCCCCACATGAACACCTGGCCGCTCTGCGTCTTGGCGGCCGACGTGTGCGTGGAGTGGCACGCGGCGATCTCCACCACCCTGCGCTCGCCGCGGGCACACAACAAAGGCAAATTACTCTCCCCGGAGCAAAACGCAGYGGAGAACCTCGCGCCCTCCTCCCTTTCAGCATCCTGGTGAAAAGGCACTCGGGGAGTGAGGAGACCCTGAGGAGACCTGGCTGCAGCAAAGCACGGGGCTCGTTGCAGGCCATCAAGCAGCAACAGCTGGCTAAGTCATTTTGCATTTCAGTTTACAATAGAAAATTAATAAAAAGCCTTTTTTTCCCTCCTATTTGTTTACTGGTAATGGTTATACACCAGCAATTTAAAAGTATTTCTTTACATTAGAATCCTGAAGTGTTGGTACTCATAGCATTATTATTACTTAGGCTTAATGGCCTTGACTTTTGGGGAACATTTTCAAAATGAAAAATGAGAATCAGAGAGAAGGGTAAATGTTATTTCTGAATATATCCTAGCTATCATAAACCATCTCACTAATCCTGAAGTTGATTTAGGATTTCAAACCCCCCACTGTGTGCAACATGACACAGTCTAYTGTTCTGCGGTCTGAAATACTGCTTGTTTACTTGTTTTCCCAGCTGCCTGGGGAAAACAGCATGAAAACAACTTGTTTAAAGCTGCATATACCAATTTTGCAGGCTTTAACAAGCTAATATTCTCATTAACATCAGAAACACATATTCTGGCCAACAAAAGGAAAAGGCATTACAGAACATTAAAATTTGAATTAAAACGCAGCCAAGGTGTCTGGAAAAAAAAAGTTACATTTTAAGTAAAAGTACAAACACTCACAGGGAAAGAGCAGCCTTCAAAACCAGGCCATGCCTCCTTCCCAGGGAGCTGCCTTCTCCTTACAGTGATGGACAGGGACACAAGTGTAACTGGCCATCCCACTTTTCTAATTATTCACAATAGGAGGTCAAAATCAAGACCTTATTACTATGGAATTGCTAAATTACTAAGAAAGAGATTGAAATCTCTGGCCACATAAACATACAGTTTGCATTAGCAACAGAGATAACTGTGCTATTAGTGAGCTGAACTTGTGAAAAGCTCAGCTTCATTTTCAGGCAACCACACCAAGACTACGCTCACTTTATGAGCTGGATTAATAGCAAAGCCAACACAAATTGCCATTGACCACTCTTCACCTTTTCGGTGTATACTCCTTGTCAAAATTAACATATTTAAATGTAATTTAAGTGGCAATATAGTTTTTATTGTTGACTTCAAACAATGAAACTATACTCCAAGGGAAAACTGCAGTTAAGACCTGCAAGATACAGTGTGAACTGAAGTGGGAAATAGCTCAGATGCTTAAGTTCAGAATATTCAGTTTATCTTTCACAAGGCGGGTTATGAGGCAGATTCAAGCACTTGCTAGGAGAATCAAACCTTAATTTGCTAATTTTCCATGTCAGACAAATTTTTAAATTGTTCATATTTAATTTTGTGAAAGCACCATTGGAAAAAAATAGAGGCTATTTCTTCCCAAAACAGGTTGGTAGAGCCCTAATTTTCTGCAGCTTTTTTGAGGGTAGGCTGCCTCATGTCTGACTGAAGAGAATGGAGGTATTACCTGTCCTTATCCACAATTATTGTTGTAGGGTAAGACTGGTTACTTTTATTCCCAGTACCTAACTGGCCATATGAGTTGGCTCCCCAGGCATAAATCTGACCTTCATCTGTTAGCACTAACGTATGTGCATAGCCACAGGCAACCTATAAATGAGTAATAAAAGAAAAAGTCTTATTTTTATGTAACAGCAAGTTAATATAAACAGATATACAGGATGTTGCACATTAATGTTACTGGTTCTATATCAGTGCCAAAACATCTGGTAAAAGATATGAAAATAACAAACACATATAAGATCACCAAAAGGGAAGCAAAGACGATGAGTGGCTTTAAGGAAAAAAAATACATCACCAAGAAAACTTGTCAGTTTTCCAAGAAAACAGTAAAAAAGACTGACAGAAATCTGTCTGTAACCCCACACATAAAGAAAATCTGTACAGCAAATATGAGCATTATGCTGAAAAAATAAGTTATTCTATCACTATCAGAGCACTCACACTCTCTAAACAGGAGAATAAATACAGGTGAAAATAATATTCATTTTACTACATTATTCTCCAATAGTAAATGTTCCCAGCGAAGCCACTGCCCACATCCTAGAAACAAAATATAAATCCATCTAATTATACGTTTTGAAAGATTTTTAAAAAATGGTTTACTACCTGGATAAACATATAAACAAGGATCCAAAGTTCAGAACACTCCTGTAAATCCTCACTAGACTACAAAAAAATGATTTCTAGCAGAATGGGTCATTTTCCTGACTGTATCCACTTGAGATTAAACCTTTAAGATTTAACCTCTTAAGATTAAATGAGATTAAACCATTTTAGTATCAATTTTATGGTCACTTTAAATATTTCTATTCAGTCAAAAGAAGCTAATAAATTTGCTGGTTACACTGAAGGTGGCCCAATTATTTGGTAGAGTAAAATACCACCCARGATCAAGACCAGCCATGCATTCACACCAGCTGTTGACCTAAAGCAGTTGGAGACAAGTCATTTATACTCTGAACTCCTATTATTCCCTGTGGATGGAGTATGCAGTTCTAGAAATGATACTCAGCTCTGCCAGGAGGACAAAATGCTGCATTTTCCCAGAAAAGAAGACAGGGGTTAATGAAGAACAGGACAGTCAAAGACTGTCCATTGTGACTGACAATTGTTACACTAGCAGAAATAAATTTCAGAGAGAAAAAAGGACTTCCTAATTCCATAGTCTTTTTCAGGTAAAAATCCTGACCTCACCAGAGTCAGTGGCAAAATTCCCACTGAATTCCATCAAGTCGTAACTCCTCCCCTGCTAAWAGAGGTTCATTTCAAGATACACATTTTTATACCAACCAACAGATTAAAAAAATGCAGATAAAAGACCACCTCCTTTAAATGTAAAATGTGCCCTAGCAAAAATACCCTGTGTTTTCAGTTGTTGAGGAAGGGTCTGAGGCTCAGCCCTCACACCTACCCGCTGCACCCGAACGCCCTGCAAAGCTGCTATTCTGCACGGGGTCGGCTGGTTGCCGCTGCTGCCCAGGCCCAGCTGCCCGTTCCCGTTGTAACCCCACACATAAACCTGCAAAACAAAGACAAGGCTTTAGCTGTTTGGCATTAGCTATTTGGCATTAGCTTTTTCATTTAGAAATTAATGTAAGTACTTCACAATTGCAATAACACCTCCTTTTTCCCCTTCCATAGGATCTGCATTTTAACTATAGTTATATACTTGTAAGTAAACATCTATATCTATGCCTATGTACATATTTACATATTTTTTGTTTCTTCTGAACCTTAAATGATAAATTTKGATTCGGCATCTCTTAGTAACACAAACTGCATCCCTCCACTCGAATTTCACATGTTCAGCTTGCTCTGTAAGGGCAGATGATGTAAAACCACAATTCTTTCACTAGGATGACTGGATAATAAATGACTCACAGGGCCATTCCCCAGGACATACAAATAAATGCCATAAAACAAAATTCAGTGAGAAAACTTCACTTACAAATTCTTACCTCTCCATTTTCTACAACAGCCATAGAGCACATCTGCCCACAGGCTATATTAACTATTACTTTATTTTGCAGACAGCCAGTAACTCTTCGAGGAATGGGTTGATTAACTGTTGAACCAGATCCAACCTGGCCCGAGTTATTATAACCCCACGTATACACCTGTTGTAAAAGAGGCATCATTAAAAAGGCTATATAATACACTTCTGAGTATACTGAGCTCTAAGACAGAAATAACTCATACACATTAAAAATCGCATTTTGAGTTTAAATGGTTCTTTTAAAGATCTAGGCTGACAGACTTATGATTTAATTGTTTCTATCAGATATATGACATTTTATATTTCTCKCCCTTATGCTCCTCCTGTCAAAGGCAAAGACAGCATGAGAGCTGCATTGACACTTTCTTGTTTTGTGGGTGTGCTTTCAAACTATTTGACTCCCCATTTTTAGTTCTCCAGAAGAAAAAGTAGAATGGCTAATTGGACACAAATGGCATCTCAGAGTAAATCATCAAAAAAAACTTCTCACTTCAATGGGCTGAACTCCTCACTCCTTTAGTTAATGGCAGATTTAAAGCTGTTAAGAGACTATACTAGGGTAATAATGTAGAAAGTGACCAACTGGCCTCTGCAAATAAATGACACTCCCTTATTACCTGCAGATGCCATATAAAAACCAATGATTTTCCAAGTGTCCTTGGAATCCTTCCAAGTGGACAGACCCAGGCAGATTTTCCCTTTTTATTAAACATTTGTCTTGAATCAGCATTGTAAGGATGGCAAGAAACAGGCCGTAACGCTGTTGCATGTTTGGTTGTATGTTGTATGTTTTCCTGTTTTCAGATATTTGAACTTAATTAAGAGAAAAGRGAGATTTATTCTAGCACTTCTCACCTCTCCATCAGATGTTAACACCATAGAATGATGAGAGCCACAGGCAACTTCAATGACCTTCTTGGTCACCAAGTTAGTCGASACTTGACAGGGAATCAAACCATGATTTGTTGTGCCATTGCCCAACTGACTATAGGCATTATGTCCCCATGTATACACTTCTCCTTCTATAATGAAAATGTAAAAGGTTGTTTTAAAATTTCTGTCTTTTCAAGGAYTACAAAGGAAAAAATTACAATTTGAAAAGTCACATTCAATAGAAAAATAGTTAAGTATTTATGCAACCTCCCTGGTTCTTAATCCCACACATGAATACAAAATCTTAGAAAAATAAGAGAGACAGCTAAAAGAAATGYAATAGTACAGTACAGAATAAAAGATAAAATGACTGTCAAGAGTTCCCATTTCAATTTCCTTCTTTGTTACCAATTAATTTCTGATTGCAATAACACAAATTTCTATGCCTTGTGTTTTCTGTTTTTGAAACACTCAAACTTTTCATTTCATTCATTCAGCTAGGAAAAAGAGAGAAAAAGAATAAAGGGAAAGAAAAACTGATAACATCAGTCAGGCCCTGATACAACTTCACTGGGAACACAGCCATTTGTACTTAACAATGAACAGATACACGCAGAGGCTGCCAGAATGATGTGGGTGATGGAACTCCAGTGAGGCAAGGAAAATAAAAGAGTTCAACTTAGCCTGATAGCCAAAGGACAACATAACTAGTCACTAAAAAGTATCCAGAAGTGAATACAGGAAAAAAAAAACCACATGTATTTTAGTTAAAGCACAGTGCTGGCACAAGAACAGTTGCATTTTTTAACAATCGTACTTTACCTTCTGTAGCAAGAACAACATGAGGGCCACTTCCATAGCTCAGGCAGGCTATCTTTTTGCCACATAAAGTATCTAATCTCCGTGGTTCCATAGTGCTCTGGAGGTCACCTGTTCCCAGACACCCACTGCAGTTTGTGCCAAGCACATAAACCTGTTATAAAAGAATCACAAAATCATAATCCAGGTTGGAAGAGACCGTCAGTGATCATCTCTAACTCCATGCTCAAAACTGTCTACCAAGATCTAATCATATCTAACTAGATCTGTGTGCTCAGGGTCATGTCCTCTTGAGTCCTGAAGACTTCCAAGGTTGGAGATCCCACAACTACTTTGGACAATCTGTTCCAAGGTTTAACTACTCTTTTTTTTTTTTTCCCCCTAATATTGAATTAGAATTTCCCATGCTTCAGTTTGTGCCTGTTGTCCCTCATWCTGTCACCATGCACTTGTAAGAAAAGTCTGCCTTCATCTTTTCCTTATCCTCTGATCATGGTAGGAAACCATTATTAATATAAAATTGATCAAAATGTTTTTCTACTTCTGTACGCTACCTTTGTGGGCATATTATCATAGTTACTGCTTTCATTATAACTTGACAAATGGATAATCAAATATGCCATGTTCACACACATTTCTGGACAAATACCTCATCATTTTCAGTTGCATACAAGACTTCATTACCAGCACTGCCAAATACACAGGCTTGACGAATTAATTTGAGCTCCTCTTGGGAACAGAGAGAAAAAATTGGCCATTTCCCAACATCCAGCATCTTCAGAACAGACAATAACGTTGCCTCCAAAGCCTGATATTATGAAAAGATACCAATACATAAAAAGAGACAAGTGTGCAACTTTGTAAAGTAAAAGTATACATTTACAGAAACAATATTCTCAACACCAAACTAATATTTCACTTGAGAAAAATGCATGGAGGGAAGACTTTTATTATAAACAAATAAATTACAGAGTTTAAATAAAGTACYATGTAGGAAGTTAATTGCTGAGGTCATATTTTTGCCATATTCGTATGGCAAAACTCCTAATCTACAGGAGTAAAAGTGTATTATCATAAGCATCTAATACCTGGAATACTTATTTTTTTTAAACAATAAAAGTAATAATGAATGATATCTATCCATAATCCAATTCCTTTCTMTGCCATTATCAGATGTATTCAATTCAAAAGACATTTTCTCTCTTTTRATATTTTACCACTTTCTCAGTTTCTATCACATTTTGTCCCCCAAACTTAAGACAGCATTAACTATCATCCCCCTAAATATTTTAATTACATTTTTCCAAGTTATTGGAAGTGATCAGTTCTCTCATATTGCGCAGAATCTGGAAAGAAAGAGTTAGATCAGAATTTGAGTTTGGCCCATCTACCTATCCCAGGGTATATCAGTTATGCTTCAAGTATTCCTAAAACATTTCAGTTTTGCTTGAGCTCAACAACGAGACTGATAGGTGACTACTCAGTTTTCTTTGTCTTAAAGAAAACTTAAAGTCTTTTTTTTTTTTGATTTGTCTTAAAGAAAGATTTTAAAGAAAGGCACCATCATTAAGGCCAAATCTAAATGAAGTCATCACTAAGCCCAAATCTAAATGAAGTGTTTTATTATGTTCTGCTTTCAGTGTCAAATAAAACAAAAAAGAAAAATGGGAGGAAATTTTAGCATCAGACTCTGCTATGCTACAGAAGTAAATTCTTAAAAGTTCATGTTGTAGAAACCTTAGACTATAGTATATAACCTTAGGACTTAATACTACATKAAACCCATCCTCTGAGTCAAAGAAGCAACTGAAATGCATACATTGTTATATTTTTGTGACTTTCMTAAGCAACATTTCTTTCGCAACTGTTGCTTCCTCTATCCACAGTTTTGATTTTCAGTTTATCTTACAGCCTTGATTAAGTCACTACTAAATGCAACCAAAACTTCTTCCTTTTTACGGGCAGCAGGACAAAATTCACAATATACATTCACATTCTGACCTTGACACTGACTCCTTGAGGAGATTCATCCTCCATATGGATTTGTGCCTGTGTACCCCTGCAGAGAGAGAACTGTGGTTAAAATCACCATACAATACAATATTGCTGCAACAATACTTTACTAAACTACATACACTTCGTATTAAACAAGAACTATTTGCCTATGTGAGTTGAGAAAATGAAAAAAAAAAAAAGACAATTTTGTTTTTGCACTGAGATCAGAGGAATCAGGGAGGGACCCTGTTCTTCTGCACTCTTTCTCAAAAATGAGGAATTCCTGGACAAAACTTCTTTTAAAAAATAGTAAAACTTACTCAGATTGTAAGAATCTGAGAATAGAAAAGAACAGAAAAGAAAAAGTTTTATTAAAGATCAAACTTTGAAATCTTTTTATTCTAATAAAAATTAATTTAGAAGTCTGCTGACATCATTTTCCATCATTTATCTGAGCAAAGAAAAAGCACACTGGAAAGAGCTTTCTATTTGCAGCTTAAGCCTTCAAATGTTCTTATTGCAGCTCTTTTCTGTAAACCAGTAACAGGAAAAAAAACATTTGGGCTTTTAGAGTTTACTGGGAATTCTTAATATTCACTCCAGCATATTCAGAAAAGACTGCCAGCCCTGTAAATGACTCAAGCAATTTCTGGCATGTGCATCAACAGTAGAAACAGATTTTCAGAGCAGATGCTTTTTCCCAGATGAACATGCACAGCTCTGCTATCCTTAATTTATTTCCAGACACAAAGCCATGCAAATCCATTTTCAATAAGAATGAGCAGAGGAGTAAGCAGCTCTAAAGCTATGAAAGTTTATTTCACTCAACAAGCAAGAAAGCAGTACACATCATTTTCTTGGAGACGACCAGATTCAGGCAATATTAGAAGTCTATTTACATTTAACTGAAAATTAAATGTCTGTAAATTCTGACTGCAGAGTAATATCCAACAAACAAGAAAGTATCATTTTACTTAGTTGCTCTTCAGAGGATTGCACCACTTTAAAAGATGCATCCAACACAGCTTAATGAACTTAGCTAACTTACTATTAGTCATGCCTCTTACATCAAAGTTTTAGGCCAAGGATCCAAAACACATCCAATAGGGTTTAAATATTTTTCAATGATTTAACAGATAAAAGAATTTTCTACAACGTAATAAATATGACTTAATCTCATGATTAAACAAAAGTTCACTTACTTTAAAAGAACAAAAAACCTGAACAATTGCTACAGCTCAGCCCTACTGAATGTGCAGATTAAGTTTATGCTTGAGTATAAAACATGAACTAGGTACACGTTGGGCTTTCATACATCTAGGCTGAGACCTTAAATGACAAATGAAAGTAATTTTTAATTCCAGCTGTGTCTATCTGAGCAGCTTTGGAATGAACCTGAATTCAAGCCTTGTTCCTTCCAAGCACGACAGGCTGCAGGATTCTTGCAGTTGCCACATGCAGGCACCTGGTAAAAGCTGGGATGGCCTTAAGGATACAAGGGGCCAGTGGGGCTAGCAGAAGGATCCAGGACCTACAGGGAATCTACACTGGAGCATCAGCTAGGAACCACACTGCTCTACAGCTCTTGAATAGAGCCCCAAATCACAGAATCACAGAATGGTTGGGTTGGAATGGACCTTTAGAGACCATCTARTCCAACCCCCCTGCTCCAGCAGGGACACYKAGAGCAGGGGGCACAGGTTTAGAATTTAATACTTAGTAACTTCTTAAACTGCTTGCTGGGATGCACTTTGTTATTGCTTTATTTCCCTCAATTATGACTTAAAATTTTTGTCTGCATCTTGTCTAAAACTTATCTAGACTTGTCTAAAACTTTTCTTTGATACTTTTGAAAGACAACATCTGTTATTCATCAAGTTCTGACATTTCAATTCAGTTACCTCTTTTTAAACTACAGCACAAGCAGTTTATCTTTAAATGCAGTTACGCTTGCTACAAGCCAGGCATTTTAGGATGGCTCATTCCATTCGCCTAAGGAAAGATTCTCCATTTCTCTACTTTCTCAAAGAGTCCAAATAAGAAACATGCCGATTTTTTTTTCTCAAGTAAAAAATCTAATATGTCTTCACAGCTGAAAAGATGCAATTCATTTTATCTCAAATATAACTAATTAAAAATGACCCTCCAACTCCATTCTTCAGGCCCTTCTGCAAACAGATGCACCTTATCTTTGAGGAACCTTACAGAGGGGTATATRGAATGTCTCAAATGACACAGGATAATTAATTTTATTCAAAATCATTTATTCTAATACAAATACATACTGATTGCCACATGTCTGCATCTACGAAGGTGTTCCTTCTAAAAACCTATAATTGATTTAAGAATACATATTCACTCCTGGATCCTGAAAACAAAGAAAGAAAGAAAAAGGGTAAGCCTAAGAATTATTTTTATTTGCATAGCTTTAAAAAACATCAATCATTTATCTTTGCCTGAAGCAATGAAAAAACAGTATATTCATCAGGAGTTGAGAAGTCTAAGTATTTGAGGACTTCAAGTACAGAAGAAAAACATAGTCCTAGCTATTACAAATAAGTTTTGGGAGCATAAATCTTAAATTATGCATAAAATTGTTAAGGCATTTTGCTTTAAAGTAGGTATCAATTAAAAAAAATCTTGATACTCACTTTAAAAAGTAAAAAGATAAGAAAAAGACATTTCTCATATTAATTTTATCTATTTTGACTAGCTTTCTTTTTGAAGAATTCTAAAGCACAGATCTACAAAAGCTAACTCTGCTATAAACAGCCATTTCTTGAAGAAGTACACAGCATTTTAATACAAAAATATTTATATCAAACTTTACAAATTTCCTATCTGGAATCCAAGTACACTTTAACAATTGGGACAGCCTACTCTTCAATTCGAGTCTAGATTTTGGAATTACTAAGTTCCAATTTCTAAATCCTAACTGACCTTGCATTTGCCCCTGCCATTGCTTTCTCTTTGGGTAAGCAATGTAGGCTCCTGCAGGACAGATAAKATTGAGTTAAGGAACACAAATATGACTGAGGTCTGATTAGGAGTCTAATAAGACCGTTTAATTATAAATGTTTAAACAGGTTCATTGGCTCATTTGAACGTAACATTCAAATAGATTCTCTTCCCCTCTAGGAACTTGGCAAGGAAATAGAAGTTCTTATAACTCCATTTAGTTTTTCCTCCCACTTGCTCTAAGTGCTGATGAATCCCACCAACTGAGCCAGAGGTCTATGTGGAGATTTTTCCTCCTAGGTCTCTAACCGAGGCTAAGGAAAAATCAGGAGGAAAAAGTCACAGAGAAAAAAAAAATGTTAATCATGCTTCTACGGAAGGGTCCTAATCTTCTGTGTTCTTATTTTTCTCATCAGTTTCCTATAGCACTAATCGTGAAATGATGCTAATGCGTCCACGCAGTCTTGCAGGAGAGGACAAAACACTAATACTAATTACAGTTATTCTTCTTGAACAGATATGGGGGAATCATAAAGCTCACAATCCCATTCCACGAAGACTGATAAGGAGAATTTTCTTACAAAATTTTTCCTTTTTCTTCAGAATGCATCATTACACAGCTTGAGCAAACAGTGAAAAGCCATTAGGCCATCCAACACTGGCAGCAACCTGACAGATCTCAGCTCTTCATTTACTCCTCTGCTGATGGAGCAGGAAGTCACAGACCCTGAAAAACAGCAAATGTTTGTTTGAAGAGCAGCAATTTAAACTAAATCATATAAAGCTGTACCAAAAAAGAACAGGAAAAAGCCCTGATAAACTAATAAGAAAAATATCCTCCTGTGACYGAGGTATTCAAACATTAATCATGGAGGAAGCAAGCAGACCATGGGACTTTTCTCTTCACTTACTTGTTTTTTTGAAACCAGGCTGGCTTCTTGGCTCCAGAACAAGCCTCACTGGCTTACTACTTATTCCAAGATTAAATAGACAAGCAGTTTACAGGCTAGACCCAGGACATTTTGAAAAACTGCATATTCATCCTCAACCTTGGCCAAGCTTCTTGCTGCAGAGAAGTTCAAATGGAAATGACCTGAGATAAGCCAGCCATAGTGGCTCCCTTTGCAGAGACAAAACCTCAGCCATAAACATCTGGTAACAAGCCAGCTCTCCTTTAAAGGGATGCTTAGTTCTAGGTGTTGGCTCTAGGGAAGGACCCCTCTATCTGAGCATGCTCCCACTGAAGTTAAATCAGAATTTCAGAGCTAGATGCTTGAAATCTATTTGCAAAGCTTTTATTTTATTTTTTTTTTTGAGTAATGACATCATCCCCCAAAAGAAAGTAATTGCTAGGACTAAAATGTAGAAGGTGAAGATGGAAACAACACACAGAAGGAAACACTGGCACACCAAAAACTAGGAGGAAAGTGAGAATACTATTTTATAACACATGCTCAGCACAATCTTTAGCTTTAGCTTCAGTACTGCTATGATAGAGATAAAAATATCAGGGAAAAATCATTTGAAACACATGAGACGACAGGAAAGAAAACAGAGGTTATGTTTTTTAAGCAATTCAGCATTATGGAAGTTTAAGTTTTGCTCCTTCAGACATTCTGTGGTTTAAAAAGAAGTGTCAGGATCTGGTGTGAAATTTCTGCTTTAGGTGAAAAAAAAGTCTCTGAAAATCTTACAAAGACTCTTAAACCTCCTTCCCCTCACCACTAGAAAAACCTTTGGGGTTTTGGGCTAGCAAGGCAATTTTTATTTTTTATAGCAAATGCTATGGAAAGCATAGATGAAAAGACACAGAGCTTATATTCAGGAACTGTTCTTCCATTCCCACTCTAGTGCCCTTTTTTTCCTYAGAACTGCTGCTGCTGGTGTAAAATGATGCATTGTTTATCCACAACTAACAAAGTGGATTTGACTGCAAAAACACATGAGAAGAAATGCAGAAAATATCCTATTTTTTCTCTCCAGTTCTACTAATCCTCCAGTCACTCTGAAAAGAAATAATTTGAAAGTTCTGGGGATCCAAATACTTGACTGAAGAGAAAAAAAGATTTGAATTGAGAAGCAACTAATAAAGAGAAACTGCATAACAGATTAATGAAAGGCAAAAGCACAAAGATTGGGAAGTTTATCCTAAGCTCATACTAAAACTTGCTTCTCTAAATATACCTACTGAAATGTCAAGGTCAGTGGTAACAAAAGAATTAAACTTCATAAAACAAATGTCAATCAAAACGGTTTTCACTTAAAAACATTCACACTGGTTTCTACAAATGCAAAGATACCTTTTGAGAGCAGTCAAGTGTTTCAGATGGCCGAAGATGAATGCGACTCCTTGCAGTGCTGAAAGGCAGTTCAGCAGGATGCTGGGCTCATTAGCGGTTTTCTTCTAAAGCAAAAGAAAAAAAAATAGTGAGCATTTCATCCAGATCTTTCAGAGTATTAACATATGCAAATAGTCCGTTAAAGTCTCTTGGGAACTGTGTCTCTCCTATACCTAAATCTAATATTTCATTTGTTGGAAGAAAGCTTTTGATTTTAATTTTTTTTTTTTAATGTAGCTGATCCCAGATGTTCAGAAAGCTCTCTGCTGAACTAGCAGCCAAATTCCAAAAACACTTTGTGTTTGTGTTCGTGTTGTGTTTGTGTTTATGCATACATAYGCATAAACATAATAAAATATTAACACTTGGTCTTTACGTCATTTTTAGTTTAATAGCTCTCTTCTATATAAAATGTTGCATATATAATTTATATATAAATGTTGCATATATAATTAATTTTTAACTGAAATTTATATGGATTCTCATTTTAACCTTCAGACATGAGCTATAAAGTAGGAGACTTCAGGGAATCCGTTTTAGGGAAACAAAAGTATTCCAAAGATCTGCTTTCAAAAGAACTTTATTAAAAACATCTACCGGGCAACACTGCAAATCAATACCAAATAATGTATCAAGTATATGAAATGAGGTTCATAAATATTATATTTTTATAGACTTGCAGAATCTTAAGACAGAAAAGTTTAAGCTGTAAGAATTTGAGGAACACCCTTGGTCATCAGKTTAATAAATGAGGTGTAAGCTTCAGAGGTTAAGCTCCACTGCACCTGCAAGCAGGAACCAAAACCTTTTAATGCCACAAAAACATCATGCTAGGGAGGAGCTCTTATTTTAAGAAATAATCACAAATATTAAATTGTCTTAATACAAAAGCAGCGAGCAAATGCACTAGGTTTGTTACTCCACCGCTAGGTAGACTGAAACTGGCCTAAATTGCTGTTAGTCTGCAGCTACTTGACTCAGACCAATGCTGTGCCTCATACATCAGCTGGTGCTGTTTTACCTCACAGTCAGCTCCTGCCAGYAAGAAACATTCACAGCTTCTACATTTCTAACCCATAATCCCATCCATAGAGGTCTAAGGAAGGTCTTTCTAGCCTAATTTAGGCTAACAGCAACAAGTTACAAGGTGCATCTCATACAACTTTAATAAAACACCTAAAAAAACTAAGAGGTTTACCAAATCACCTCTGGTTTCCTCAGAGTTAGCACCATTTTTATGGATAACAGAGCCTTGGTCCATGACACAGGCTTACTCCTTCAGGTAGGAAGTTTCATTTGTCTGAATGCTGCATCACTGAGCGGRGTTTTTCCAAGGCAGTTGGATGCAATTCCAGCATAAATCGATAGCCACAACTACACTACTCTTTAGACTGGGCTCAAGGCACCATGACATGGCTCTTCAGGACATCTAGGATTCTACCTAGCCCTGTAGCAGGCTGCYTGAAACTGCAACACATCATACACGTGAGGAGGCCAATCCTAAATTATTTTGCCTTAATCTTAACACTCACTGATCTTTATTTTCTTTACCTGGATGGGTAAAGAATACTTTAAAAATACTTGTGCATAACATTGCCTCTTTTTTTTCAATTCTCTCTTTACTACCACACTTTATCTCCCATTCGACTTTCTTACTTATCAAAAGCAAGGAAGCATTTGTTTTTTGTATTCTTTGAAGTAATTTTAGGAATAAATTGATTTTTTTTTTTTTTTTTTTTTTTGAGATGGGCACGAGTTCTTTTCCACAGACCTACTTATTTTGACACAAATTCCAAGAAAATCCTTCGCTGGGCATAAAGGCATTTCAGAATTTCTTCATTTCCACAGCTCTTGGCGCTCTAGAACAACTGGCATCACTAATTAACCTCGAATTTTCAAAGACTGTCCTTCCAAAACCAGAACACCGAAACCTATTTTTTTTTTTTTACCTTTTTATTCTATTTCCATTAAAAAAAAAAAAGTGACCCAAGGTCACTTACTAAACCCTCTCTTCCCATAGTTTTCTATACTACACTATGTACTGAGAGCACGTCTGCAGCCTACCCGTTGCCTGCCTGGCGGTCGTGCCCTCTTCCGCACTCCTTGCCCTTTCGCTGCCCCCATGGACCACAAGGATGCACAGAGGCACCTGCCTACAGACCTCACCCAGTTCCTTGGCAGGAGTAAAGCCATTTTGCCAATTTACTCTGCCTTTTGACCCACCAGCATTAGAATTTCCCTCTCCACATGCCTCCCCCTACGCACTAACAACCCTTTATGTAGGATTAGATCTTACTAGACATCCCTTTCCCAACTATGCCCTTTCTCAGTGCCAAAACCACAGCGGGRCACCTCACTGGGCTTGCTCAACGTGCTGCAAGCTCTGCAATTCCCCCGTGGGCTTGAGCACAGCGCTCCCAGCCCTGCTCCAACGTGACCCCGGTGCTGCTCAGCCAGACAGGAATTGCGTTATCCTTAAGCCAGGCGCTTTGCTTGCACAGGGACACGGGGCCTGCAGCAGCGGCGGCGGTAACGCAGGCCTGACGCTCGCAAAACGGGCAGGGGCTCCCTCCGCACCGGCCCGGGGCGCAGCCGCCTCGCCCGGCGCTGAACGGGCCGTGGCGGCGGGCGCCGCCCACGCACCCAAGATGCCGGCGGCCGCCAACGGCCGCCAACGGCCACCAACGGCCGCC